AAGGAAACTACTCACAAGGTTGCCGAAAACTCTTTGACAGCCCACGACCGGTTTCGCCCTTCTTGGGGCTCATCAGGTAGGCGCAGTCCCCGAGTTTCCGTCAACCTTATGATCTATTTGAACCCAAATTGCACCGTTTTCGAGAAGTCCACTCATTTGCAAATCGATTTGGTTTTCACGAGAGACTCAACTGAATCTCTCGTTTATGATGCTATATGAGTTTGTGAGTTTCTTTTCTTCTTTTCTGCTTCGCAAAATAATGTGTGACCTTTCATCTATCGACACTTAGAAGCATTTGTTCCTCGTCGTCCTAATACCGATTGTGAAGAGCTGCTTCGAGAGAAATGAGGGAGATTTTGACCCCGTTGGGATCTGAACGCCTCCGTCGATACCAAACACTACACTATCACATACATTTGATTAAGGTATTGGCATCCTGACATTCGAGACTCACTAGATTATGTTGAACCGTTTGTTTATTTTGGCTCAGAATCATTTGTGGACCTAGTACGTACTTACGTATACAACCTTATGAGACTTTATCCAGAGATCCTTAACCGGTCTCCTTCAGAATGTTACCCCCCCCCCCCGCTTCCAGCAAGAAATCCATCGACCAAATCGAGTTAGGAGGACAAGCAGGATGCAAGCGAATTGCTTTTGCCTTCAGACAGGAGTAGCAGCTGCTATTGTCTTTGAATGTCCTCGTAAACTGAGCACTTTTTAGTAGCATAGTAGACGAATGGGGTTATGAGACCTCTCAAAATTTTGGATTAGCTCCAAATGGAACAAATCAGACGAAGTTGCTAGGCTCAGAATCACATTTGTCAATTCGCACAGTCTGCGCCCAGGTACACTGCCTACCTGGTTAGCCCTATTAGAGATAAAAATGATCGTGCACTTTTTAAGAACTTTCAGTAACTTTGACTGGTGAGTTCGATTCAACTAATATATAGCCTGTTGTATCTTGCGGTGCGATGCGGTGGCCGAGCTATTGGGTTACGCCTGCACTGCGCCTGCCAGGCTACGCGATAGGGAGAAGACAGAGAACTGGGGACACGGCTGTATTGCCAGGACAAAACATACAGAGCGTCTGCGTAAATATATAGGATATATAGGATATATATAGGATATATATATAGGATGACTAATTGGCCAAATATGGTCGTTCACTTGTT